CCCCAAAACCCCAAAACCCCAAAACCCCAAAACCCCAAAACCCCTTACAATCTGCAAAAATTGATTTACTGATTATCTTTTGTATGAACTTCCTCTTGTAGAGCTAGGATTAGCTCATCTATATTGGTCCATTTCTTTCTGGTGAACTTAAACTCCTCCTCATCTTGGTTCACTGACTTCTCTGAGGAGCTCTTTGAAGATCTAGGAGAGTTATTAATCTTTTCAGGGGATTTTGGGAGTGAATCCTCGCTCTTGTTAAGCCCTAAATCTGATCTTAATTCTTTAATTAGTAGCTCTTTCTTGTTCCTAGGGGAACTCTTGCGGTATAGCTTGATGCTATCTTCCTTTTTCCTTGTTTCTCTCTCTTTCTTCTTCTTATGGTCTTGTAAAGCCTTGTGCTTTGAAGATAAATCTTCATCATTAACACCTAAGTATTCCTGAGCATATTTTATCACTTCATCAAAATCACATTTGATCATTAAGGTATTCTTAAGTCTTCTTTTAATTTCCAAAATCGAAGGATAATTCTCACGGAGTTCATTGTCTATCTGCGTGTCTGTTCCCAAAGGGATCTCTCCTTTGACTATTCTTCCAGATTTGTTCCTGATGTTTGTATTGATCCTTACTTTTCTCTTAGCCATCTTGAGATATTCCTGCAACTGCTTAAATCTTTTAAGAGAGTGTTGTTCTTGTGACGTTCCGTTACTAAATTTCTCCCGAATCCGTTCTTCAACAGTCTTTAAGGTTTGCTCCTTATTTACGTAAGTCTTCAGGAATTTTTCTCTTCAAGTCACCAATACTTTTCCTTGGATTGGAAATCATTCAAGTGAGACGTCTCTTCTGAGGACTGTTGATCCTACTGGGTCTTTTACTAGCACATACAGAACCTCCTATTGTACTTTCTCACTTGCGTCTATATTCAGGCCTATAAGTTATCTAAAGAGTTTACAATTCTAGTTGCTTTTTACGAACATGGGAGGATATAATCACAGATTTCCTACTCGTCGGGGTGACTGATCTCCTTGCAATGCTACTCTTGACACTTAGCAGGTCTTGGTTATGACGGAGACTCTTAATATTCTCTACTCCAAGGATGCTAAAGGCCCTTTTCTTGCCTCTAGTTTTCTGAAGTGTAGTTTCATTAAATCTTCTCCGCTGATTCTTGTTTCTTTGGAGCAAAAGGTACTTCTCCTTGGGATCAACATTTGAGAAGTTCATTCTCTTAGCTTTCTCCTTGACCTTGTATTCTGGATAAATTACTTTCCTGTTAATCTCTTGGAGATGGTAAAGGTCTCTTGGCTTTGCAGATTTCCAATAATTGCACCTATTTTTCTTAATTAGATATTATTTTGGTTAGATAAATAGAGGTGCTTGATTAAAGAAGTCAAGAGAGACCATAATAGTGTTGGTTCAGGCTTAAGAGGAAACAATTTATGCAAAACATAATTCTTTTTGAAATATTAGCTTCTGTAACTAACCTGTTCACTCTAACATCCACTCTGTTGCTTTTAACCGCAGAGGTATTTATCCTCTTTTGAGTCTTATTCAGTGCCTTCTTAGTCTGTATCTTAGTGGTGCCTGGCCGTAAGGTATTCAAAAATTTGGGTTTCTTTAAATCATCTATTTTAATTTTGACATTCATTTTCTCCATATATTTTCCAAAATTACTCTTCTGAGACATTTTAGATTGCTTATCATGATCTTGTCGGATCCTATCCCCGAAGCTCTTACGGTCATTAAGTATATTCTTGTACTTATTTTGAAACTTCTGGCTCTGGAGGCAGGACTCTGAGAGTATATCTGAATAATTCATATAGCTTATTTTCAAATTTATATTAAAATTTGGGGTTTTGGGGTTTTGGGGTTTTGGGGTTTTGGGG